CACACACACACACACACAGACACGGGCCTGTGTGTGCAGGCCGTTGGACGGGTGGTTAGAACCTATTCTTTACAGCATGAAAATCAGGACGTTTGAGTGTGATGGTTGACTGATAGTACTGCTGTGTGAGAGGGGTGAAGTTTTTAATGTGTGAGTAAGGACCACACGGTGGAGAAGTGGTTACTGGACTGTAATCGATGTTCAAGTTCACTGTGAATGTTCTCTCTGTCTGTAAATTGGTTTTCTCCAGGAACTCCAGCTTCACGCCACAGTCCAAAAATACACAGATTTAGAATGGGTCGGGGGGGAGGGGGACTTTTCAACATTATAATTAAAATAAAATGTACAAAAATAAACCTAAACTTTAGACAGATAATGAAAAGATAATTTGGCACATTTGATCTCTGATCTCTGAACTCTGATCATCTCTGTCATCAACAGGAAGTACAGTCCAAATGCAGTTCACTGTAATGCATGAAACAGAAGGATTGACACCAGTCTTTACCATACCTTGTCTTGTAGCAGTGTCTGGCAGGCTGGAGCACAGCGGGCCACATCTTGACCTCGAACCATCGTTTACCCAGGTGTAAACGTTGAATCTGTCCACTGTGGAGCCAATAAAGGACTTCCTATCTGTAACAAACTGAGAGTAGTGTTTTTTCTGTGGAAGTGGCCAGAAGTTGTTAAATCCAAGCAGAGTTTAAGGTTCTGTACAGTTTGTATTTTTTAATCTATAAAAGGCTTGACGCTACAGACGTTTTGGGAACCGCTGCACTAAGAGACATGTTGTTGTTGTGTGCTTCAGACGTAAAGCTGAAAGAACTGAATCACTGTCAGGGTTTAAATGAAATGCAGCTCCAACAAATGTTGTTACTAAATGCTACTCCTAACAAAGCCTGTGTGGGCAGACTGCTATTCTTAGTAGATACTTTAATAACACAGCTTTAATAAAGCTGACTCCTAATAAAGTTTATAAATATGCATTCAGTATTGAACACACACACTCACTCACTCAGTCAACATGCACACAGACGATTTGGATGCGGCCCTGCACTAACGACAGTGATGTGGTCGTGCACATTGTAGCGTCTGAGGGAGTGACTCACGCATGCGTACCATAGCACTCTGCTCCTGTCTGCTGAAAAACAAAGGCAGTGAGCCGTGGCTGGAGGATGTCATCAGTCATCGTTAATGGAGGAAAACAGACTTCTTGAAAAAATCAATAGTGCTTTTATCTGAGCGGAGACGCAGGAGAACTCTTCCTATTGTTTTTGTTCCTAAAGTGTGAGAGCAAGACTCGGCATCTCTCACAAGAAAGTACCAAATAGGAGAATCCACAGGTTCCTCCTCCTCCTCCTCTTCGTCATACCTCCTTTCTCCCGTTTTTAGCTGAACCTGGACTGAATGACATCGTTTGTGATCGAAGGAACTGTTGCTTGCCTCTCGTCCTACACTTGTTTATTTAACACGGGCGGAAGCAGCGATGTAGGTTGTGTTTGGTCAGATGACGGACTGTGAGCTCGGGATTCGTGGGAGAGTCGAACGTGATATTTCCATGCACTTTTTTTCACTTTAAAGATTTGATTTTGTAGCTGTAAACGGTGCCTCCGCTCACAGCAGACCGTCGGCGGAGGATTTCTTTATAAAAGACCAGGAGGGAAGTGAACCCACCGAGGAGAGGCGCTGTCCGTGGTTCTGAAGTTCCAGGCCTACTCTCAGAGGACGTTTTCTTTGCAAAAGGCAGCGGTGCAACATTATCCACCAGCAGCTACACACAGGGCCTACTATGGTAACTCAAGCCAGGGTACATCTGTTCACTTTGGTCCTTTTACTACTTGGTAAGTTTGACCGTTTGTTGATAGTAAATATGAGGATACTGCAAGTGCAATGGTTTTAAGACCAGGGTTTTTTTCATTATTTTTTGGCAGACACATTTTAAAAGTAACAGTTTGTGACCTGGCGTGAAATACATTCTGAGGAATCAATACAAAGAAGGAATGTACCTGTAAATGAATGGAGTTTTACTGCTAAGGGTATGGATGATGTTCGCGAGTTTTATCGTGCAGTTCAAACTTACAAAATCAGATTTCATTTGTGGCCCAGTGAAGTAAAGTCCGCCTCCTACTTCTACTTTTTTTTTCTGAACCCATTTGACATGGTCTCTGTGTTTGAGCTTTCAGTAATGGGAGGAAACACATGGATGGCTTTAAATCAATGTAGTCACTCTCTGCCCCAGGGGTAACTTTGGGTTATTATATAAGAGCACAGAGCACTGGCACACAGATGAGTGCATCCACATGGTAACCTCTCTCTAACATGACTGGCCTACTTGACAAACAGAAGGTGTCACACTATTTTTTACCGCTAATATATTGCAGGAAAGCACTTATTTTCATATTCTATTCCCTGGCCCTCTGCACATCAAGACAAAATGTCCCTCCACTCCCCTTGTTTTCCACAATACATTGCTTCTCTCCTCCCCCAAGTCTCTCACGTCATTTCATTTCCTCCACAGTCTGTCAGCTCACACTGATGGACAGAGGGCAGCATTACTGGCCTGGATGATTTTAAGTTTTCTTAACCAATGCCATGACTCAGATCTCTCCATCGTCCACTGAGCTCTAAAACTCCCTTCAGGTTCTGACTTCTGCAGCAGGTTGAGTCTCACGCTGTATTACAGAAGCTGATGGCCTGAATATGAAATACTGGGTCAGTTTATCAGCACACCTCCAAAGTGTGTTGCAGCAGTGTGCATCTGCATACGCCCACTTCTTGAATAAAGACTGTTGTGAATTCAGCGTGCATTGGAAGAGTCTGGCACAGTTGTTGTTTATAAATAAAATCTTCAGGAGTAAATCTGTTGAGCAGTAGCACAGTTGATCTTTAAGTAATGTCTAGTTAGTTAGTTAGTTAGTTAGTTAGTGTGAATTCAGCTCAGTGTGCTGATCACTGTATGTATGTATATATCAAAACTGCTGATAGCAGGGGTTCAAAAGTGGGGTGCAGGCCCCAGTAGGGGGCATGGGACTTATGTAGGGAATAGTGTTCATTTTGTCACCTATTTAGTATTAGTCTAAGTCTTATGACGAAATGTCATTTTTAGTGTTTGTCATACTTCATTTTTGTCATTGTCATTCACATACCATTTCTTATTTGAGTCAAGTTGACTAAGAGTCGGATAATTTGACTTACACAACATTTTTATGTTTTCAATAATAAAATAAAAAAAAATGTATTTCTGTATTACTGTCCACTACGCTGAATATAATGATATTAAAATATCTCAAATATATCATGTTATCTTTATTTTGCTAAAGATGTCTGGTGTGCTAATTCAAGAGACACATTTGCACATGATCAACTTGCAAAGTGGGTGGGTGGAGGGTGGCCCACTACAGTGTGGTTGGAAGTGATGGGTCACATCGTGGAACACTGGGCCAAACCTTCGCACATGCGTGGTTAAGTACATCTCCTGCTGCTTCCACAAAAATCCAAAAAAAATTCTGGTCCTCCAACAGATACAGTGGGTGACCCCAGCTGTATCACCACAATTAAATCACAGCAGGTTCATCTTCTCAGATTGTTCTAGGCTCTCTTCTTGTCAATGCCTAACCTGGTAACCAGGTAAACCTGGAACCTTGTGCCAATGTAGTACATTTCCTAAACAGTGGATTGGAAAAATATAACTAATTTCAGTTGATCGTAACATGTTCCTTTACCTCTAGTCCAGGGTTGTCAGCCGGTGTGTGTCGATGCAACATCGGAGACTGAGGCGGTCCTGGGGAAGCCCATGATGTTGACCTGCATCTCCTGTTTGAAGAGGGAGGAAGTCAAAGTGAAGACACGTGTGGATTGGTACTACAGGCCAAGAGCCGAAAAGGACACCCCAAAAATCCATGTAAGAGACTCACACTGTCGTGTTGTTCACCTACACATGTCCATAATATTACATTGCACTTTCCTGTGCTTTAACCTAGATTTACATGTATAAAAATGACACACCCATGGAGCCGGATGGACCATTTAAGGACCGTCTGACCTGGATCGGGAGTCAGGACTTGCAGGACGTCTCCATTAAAATCCGTAAAGTCACCTACAACGACAGTGGGCTCTACGAGTGCCACGTGTTCCGCTTGTTTGAGTTCAAGTTCTTCTCGCCAACTGAGTACATCGTGAAGAACATCACGCTGAAGGTGAAAGAGAAAGGTGTGGCTTACTGTTTTGCACTTTTTACCCTTCGCTCCGTATCTGCTGCAATCTGTGCTCAGCCTTAGCCGAGCTCCGAGGCTCCACGTCAGTACGCTTCACTCTCCAGTTAATGCAGCAAACTCAGCACGAATTCAACCGGCAGTGACATGTAGACAGCTGCTAAGTTTGACAGTGGTCAGAAGGGATGGAGGTCTGATTTGTAGAAATATGAGTGTTGACTCGGTACGACCACGACCAGGTCTTAAACCAATACGGAGTATCCTCGGATATTGGCTCTTCTCTCATAAGTCATGTTTATTACATGTACTTTAAATGGATGTACTACAGTATGTACTTCAATAAGGGCATCTAAAAACACAACATCCAAACTGTGCTACAAACATTCTGCTTCTTTCAAGGGAGAAATTAAATATTCCACAACATGAATCTAGTCATTTAAAAACTGTTGCTGCTTCTTATAAAAAACTTTAAACTCAAATGGCTTTTTACAGCTTTTTGATTGGTCAGCACCATTCAAACATTCAAACTTAACTTTGAATTTGTAACAAAACAGTGCTCATTATAATTCCCGGTTAAAATATAATCCCTTAGACATCAATCGACTCATAAAACAAAGCTGTTTCTACAAAAACAGTATGAAATATTCACAGCCCTCGAGGCGATGTGTAGCATATGCAGGAACAAGCCGGGGGTTAAGTGGTGACCCAGCAGGGGTTTTTTAAACTGCAGAAAACCAGTTTTCACCCAGCAGTAGATGGAGAATGATTTAACTGCTCATGTCACTCTGCTGTTGGTCGGTCAAACCCAGAGAGGCAGCGTGACGGAGGGGAAGCTGGTAATGGTTATTACACAGCTGCAAACAGGTTTACTTTCAAATCATTATGGTGTAAACAGTAGTCTGAATCCTGTTGACCCCTCCCCTCCCTTCTTCTCTCCCACCCTCCCTCCTTGTTTCTTTTGTATTGTACCTGGCCCTCCTGTGATAATACACGAATCAGAGTGTTTTGTGTAGATGGTGCTTTTTATTCTGTTTTCCTAACTGGCAGCATTGACTGGGCGATGCATCTGTGTGACGGTAGAGTGCCACTAACAACAGCACTTTTCTTCTCCCCTCTCTCTCCCTCTTTCTCTCTCTTATTATGACTGCAGTGAAGAGGAATCATTATGTGTTTTGTTTTGTCTGCCTCCCCGTCCGTCAAAGCTCCCCCTGTTGTCAGTGAAGGGGTTAATTCAAACCGACTTCTTTGCTTTCTGTTAAACGGGGTAATGTATTCTGCTTCCTGAATGCCTGGCTTGCTGAATGAATCATTTTCCACCTCCAGTCGAATATACAGCACCACGTGTATATTTGGAACAGTTTACTTCGCTCCCATTTTCCTTAAAGTAACATCCACTTGCATGTGGTTAACCGTTGACTGTCAGTGGCACACGGAGCTGGGCTGGATTCATCCCAGGGTTTGTTGTCGTGTCCAAAGACACCCTTTTTTCGAAGTGCGATTAGGAAAAAATACAAATTAAAAAATGACAGGACTTGCATTCAAAAGCTTCCTTCTGCCCATCTCATACAACAGTGGTATCAAATTTCACCCAGCCTACAGACAGCGTCTTATACATCTGAGCTCGGGAGTCATGTTGCAGTAATGTTGCAGATAGTAGTGAAATGGATTTGTCCACGACAAACATCTTTAGCCGCCCTCTCAGGGATTATGTTGCACTAACAGGCTCTATTTGCAGTGGCTGCAGAATCCTATCAGTAAAAGCTGTCAGCTGTCTGGTCAGCAGGCTCTCTGGAATTTGGTACACACTCCGGGGTACAGAGGTTCACAGTGGCTTATTAACGGCAGCGAAAGGCTTCATTGTGCAATGTGAAGGTTTCTCATTTTTCAAAGACGAGTTCAGAAGACAGGTTTTGTCTACAGTTAATTAAACACTTTTATAATTCCTTTTAAATCCCTCTTCTGTTCCCGTTGATACTTTTGTCCCTCTTTGGTTCAACCTCTTTGTAAAGTTCCTTATCTCTCAAATCCGTATTTGCTATTTGACCCCCAGCTGGAAAAATCTACAACCATAACTGTTCTTTGGAATCAGAATCAGAAATATATTATTGAAGGGGAATTTTAGAGGATTTTTAGATTTTTATTTGATACATTGCAGAAGCATAAATTGGAAGAAAAAAAACACTCCTCCTGAGAACCACTGTGACCTTTCAAATCTTCCTTACTGCATTTTTAAAGGTGCTTTGTGGAGTTTAAAGAGAACTTGTAAAAAATATTCAGTTTTTATTAGGGTAGCTGCATGAAGAGCATGCTGAAGCAGAGCACACATGACTTTTTTTCCCTCCTTTTACACTATTTTCTTTTGTTTTTTATTTCCTATAATTAGAATCTTGGGATGCACGATATGTTTTTTTTTGCAGCCAATACCCAAATTTATGGGGTTGTCATGTTACTGACAACAGTTAATTTTAGAGTATGTGCTATTTAGGAAGTCATGAATTTCTCATGACCTTCCTTCATGTTGACCTGGTGAAAAGAAATGCGCGCGACACGTAGGTCTGACCAGACTAAACACAACAGCTCTGTCCCTTTTTCAACAGTACTGATAAATGACTAAGTTTTACAAAGTCACCCACACGTCTATAATCTTTCATTTTCCCTGTCTCTGTTGAACGTCTTGCTTTTTTAAAATTTCCATTCGTTTCCTTTTAGCTGCTGTGCTAGCTGCTGCCACTGTGGCTACAGCTGCTCCATTCACCAGAAGAACGCTTTTCAGTGATAGCAAACGTATGTTGAAACAAGAATATTTGGATGTTTTTCAAATCTATCAAAATTCCAGCAAATGATTGTCTGTCATTCACAGACAATAAAAACAGGAGTACAGTACGAGGCCACAAATGAAAACCTCGCTACAATGGTTGGTTAATTAACTTTAACTCGTGCATCCCTACATTGTACACCAGGATATTTGGACATCACATTTTGTTTGTATCTTTAGGGACACTTGTTTTTAACTAATTGTCTTGGTTTTTAATTGTTTTAACTCTTTTGACATGGCACTCCACAGGGCACCTTTAACTCAGTCGGCTTCACTCTTGTTGTAACAGAGGAATAGTCGTGGTGATCTGTAGGCCACGTAGCTCAGGCATCGTTTCTTTATCTCAGTCCAGACACTGATGAAAATACAACGTGGCGTAAACCAAAGCTAAAACCCTCGTTTACGGACTGAGTTACTTCTCATTCTGTGACTGTAAAATACATCTGTTACAATGGAGGTGATCGTGGATCAGTCGGTGTTGCACGAAGATGAAACATGATTAGCATCCCTACTCAGAGCCATGAATAATTAACGTTCAGCCACATAATCAGTAGTAAAGTCGCTCAGATAAGGGCCGCTCTCTGAATAATGCATGTGCCTTCCTGTTTGTGCTCCGCAGCCAGTGACGATCCCACAGCCTTCTACTCTGAGATCATGATGTATGTGCTGCTGGTATTCTTGACCTTCTGGCTGCTGGTAGAAATGGTCTACTGCTACAGGAAGATCTCCAAGTCTGATGAGCAGGCGCAGGACACGGCGTGAGTTTCACACATCCATCAGTTGACAGCTGGCAGCGATAGCCTCCCTCCCTGATAAGGCAGAGCTACAGCACGACTGACAGTTAGCAGCTAAGTACAACTCTGAGTCTGGCAAACAAACCTGTTGTCAGCACAACCAGAGTTTTAGAGTTTAAAAAAAAAACTTTTTTCTTGTTCTGCAGCATGACCCTGAAAACTTTTGTTGGGAGAAACACTAGCAACTTAATATTTTGGAGACATTTTTGAAAAAAAACAAGAGAAAAGTAGACGGAGGAGACAGTCCACACATTGTTTCAATTTGTTAGCCATAGTCATCTGTCTCACACTCGCTCCAAGACTAGACCTATTCAAGAAGCTGTTAACCCTTTTTTTTTTTACTAAGTGAACTGCATGTTTACACGTGCTTACTTTGCAGGTCCATTAGACTTTTCGTAACACTCTGTTTGCTGTGACAACACCAATTGGAATGCACCAGTGGAGTCAGATTCCATCTGATTGACACTGTAATGACTCCATCAATCCTGCGTGACAGGCTTTTTCTTACAAGCAATTTGTGTCTCCTACAAAAACAGCGGTCCTGGTCCAGCAGCACGACTTCTGCATTGACTGCCCCACAATGCACTTCAGATAAAAGAAC